GGAACACAAGCAGGGGGAGTGGGAGAGGGAGAAGCAGGCTTCCCGCCGAGCAGGGAGCCCGATGCGGGGCTTGATCCCAGGATCCTGGGATCATGACCTGAGCCGAAGGCAGATGCTCAACGACTGAGCCACCCAGGCGCCCCTGGAAGGCAGAGTTTTATGATCAGGTGTAGTGAGGTAGTGGGGATTTTACAGTCTGTTTTAGGATGAAGTTGCATGTCAAGTCCCAAAGGAAAGGGAATTGTGTTGCTTTCTTTGGTGTCTGGATATTTCCATGGGATGGGGGTGGTTTTGGCAAGGGGTTTTCTTCCTGGCCTTGCTCCAGGATCTTTCTCTCCACCTGCCTGGACCCTTCTTTCTCTGTTTCTGCTTTTGCCTTTCTCTCTTCCATCCCTTTCCCAATCCCCCCAGGCCATGGGCTCCCAGGGGAACTTGTCGGCTGAGGTGGAACAGGCTACAAGACGCCAAGTGCAGGGCATGCAGAGCTCCCAGCAGAGAAACCGAGAACGCGTCCTGGCCCAACTTCTTGGCATGGTCTGCGACGTCAGGCCCCAGGTCCACCCCAACTACCGGATTGCTGTCTAGGATCCACCGTAGGGCCTAACTGTTCCCTTCCAGTTCCCTTCCTCAAAGAAATCCCCCAATCAAAATTACCTCCCACCATCTTCGCTGCTTCTTTCCCACTTGCTCTCCATTCCCTGGAAATTCTAGGGGCAAGATCCAATAATTCTGTGAAATTTAGAAGTTCTCCTGTTCAGATCTGAATCTCCTTATTGTTCTTTAACCTTCACTGGGACCTTGAAAACTCCCAAGTCACCCTCACCTGACCCCTCTTTGAAATTTGTATCATGGAGAAGTAGGGATGTGAAAAACACTTTGGCTTCAGAGCCTGGCAGGCTGAAGTCCCTTTCCCAACCCTGCCACTTGCTGGAACAGGACAAGCTACTTAACCCCTAGTCCAATGTCCTCCTCTACGGGACTAAAATGATGATGATGATAATAATACCTACCTTATAGGGTTGCTGCAATGATTAGGAATCACTCTGTAAAGAGCCTAGTGTGGTTTCTGGCATCTAGTAGCTGTGATTCAATAAATGGTAGCTTTATGGTATTATTACCACTCCCTGCCCACCTGCCAAAACCTAAACACAGCTGTTTCCTCACATTCGTCAACGGTTCTCTAATTCTACTCATTCATTCTGTGAACCTAGTAATTCTCTGAAGAATTAGTTCTTCCCACCTCTCTTTCCCCAGAGCTTTATGATCCCTGAAAAGTAATGAAGACCTCGTTTAGCCTCTCTACTGTGATTCCAGGAAGATGTTGAATTTCTTAGTCTTTCTTTTTGTTTCTAAGTTGGTCTTTCCCTTTACTGGATTCCCCCTTTTCCGATTTCCCCGAAGACCCATCAGATGCTCACTGCTTCCTGAGATCTAAAGTGATGCTATGTTCCGTTGTATGCATGGCTTTCCTTTCTACATCTTGAACACCTTTCCCTTGTAACAATGAAAAAGTGTCAATAAAAAAACTATGGGCAAATCAACTGGTGTGTCGAAGCAGCTTCCTTTTGCTTCATCATTTCTCATTTTCAGTCACTCTCTTGTTTTTTATTTATGTATTCCCCAAACACCCCAAAGGGCTGTTCTTTGAAACTTGTTGGAAAAACAAAAGGAACTAGTGTGTTATTATTTCTCTAAAGTGAGAAACAAAGGTGGGGTTACTCGTTGGGAACCTGAGAACTATAGATGGCAACTATAGAGAAAAGCTGCAGTGTAGGAACAAGCACTTTCTGTTCCTTATCTTGCTTTCTTGTTCTTTTCAAGATTATTTATTTTCGAGAGAGAGCAGAGTGAAAGAGAACATGGGGGGAGGGGCAAAGGGAGAGGGAGAAGCAGGCTCCTTGCTGAGCAGGGAGCCTGATGCGGGGCTTGATCCCAGGACCTGGAGATCATGACGTGAGCCGTGAGCCGAAAGCAGACGCTTAACAGAATGAGCCACCCCAGTGCCCCAAAACTTGGGATACTTAGAGTCGGAAAAACTGTCCTTCTATGACACCATCCTTGGATCACTGTTATTTCTCTTGGCCACAGAAAACAATCCCTGCTTCACCAAGCCAAAGACTTGAACCAATGAGGTAATCCACAGCGTAATTATTAACCAGACTCTTTAAGCAGGGAGGCGGATACAATAGAGAATAAAATGTATTTGTATCCTGGCTCTGTCACCGTACTAGCTTTGTTACTTTGGACATGTTGCTTTATTTGCTTGTTATAGAATGGGAATAATGGTATCTATTCCTTAGTGTCAAACGGTTAACTGTGGTAACAGGTAAAGAGCCAAACGTTTGCTATCATTTTTGTTGACATCACGTCTGACTTCTGAGGCCTATCAAAGACTGGGGTGTCAAAGGTTTCATTCAGGAAAAAATTCAAGCTGAACAATGGGGCTGCTGGAAGCGGGGCTAAGACAGTCTGCTCGAATTAACAATACTTATGGGATGTTGTGTAACCCTCAAGCCCCACCATTTATCTTCAACACTTGAGGCAGAATCTAGACCGCCCCGTCCCCCACTCAGTGGATTCAGAACACATTCCTGCCTCGAATTTCCTGCCCATCAGCCTCGGGGTCCTTGGGGCATCAACTACATCGGCCCACATTATTTGAAGCAAATGCTGCCCACCGTCTCCACCACTGGGGAAAGGGTAAGGGGAGGACCCGTGAGCACGGCTCAGGATCAATCCTTCCCCTCAGCTGGGGTCAGACTAGCTCCTGACGCCCCCGGGTCACCTTGACTACCCGGCCAAGGACCCCGTGGGAACTCCCAGCCCCCTCCATCCTGTTCCACCGAGCGGGGCGCCTACGGAGGGGTGCCCAGAGAGAAGACCTGCCCGGCAAGAAACTAAGGGAAGAGGTGAGGGACGTGGAGTAGACGAGGACAATAGAAAAAAAGGTAACAGTGGGAGATGATGCTAGTTTCCTTTATGCCTTTTGTTATTTGCAGTAGCGGAGGAGTTAGAAGTGGCTTAAAAAAATTTTTTTTTTCACACAGGCATTTTTTAAAGGCAACCCCAGCGCGCACGGAACTATTGAGTCTGGAAGGATCTTCTTCCGGTCCCTTGCGCCTGCGCGCTGGCAGGCGAGAAGGCGGGAGTCCCGGGTAAGAGGGAAGCCGAGAACCGGAAGTGAAGGCAGAGTCTCTTTTTCGTCGCTGTTGCCGCCGCCATATGCGCTCGCCTTGCTCGGGTAAGCTTTGGCCTTGGTATCATCCGCCTCCATCTGCATTTCTTTGCGGTCATCCTGTCCCATGGACTCCTGATACCGCTTGCACAGGCTATGGTCGGGTCCCTGGGGCCTTGTTGGGTCATTATTTCTATTGCTTGCTTTCCTTTTCAGAGCTCTTAGAGTTTCGGGGGGGGGTAGAGGTAGGGATGCAAGGGGGCCCAATCCAAGATGGTGGCCCCAGCGCCGTTGTGTACCTTTTGCTCCCTGCTCCTTAGCTGCGCTCCTCGTTTATCGGAGGCCCTAGCGATGGTGAGAGGCGGCTCTAGGTGTCCTTTGGTCCTGGGCATTTGCGGAGGGCGGGGCTCTTTTCACCTTCCCTCTCCTCTCTGGGTCCTCTTCATGGCCCAAGGTGGGAATAGGAGGAGGGGCCGGCTTCTGGGCCTAGTTGGACTTTTCTCAGCTGGACTTAACCAACCTTTATCTGGGACATTTCCCAAATGTTTATGCGTGGTGTCATTGTGTGATTATCGGAAGGGAGTCTCACGTGAGGAGTAACGCAAGGGTGTTGTGAGACCCCTTGCTAAAGTTTCTGTTAAAGCTGTAGCGAGGGTATCCGTTATTTTCTTTCTCATTGTATGGGGAAGAGATGAATACTTTTGACCGAGCCATTCCTCTTATACTCCCCCCCTCCCCCATCAATTACACAGGGATTAAGCACCAGAAGGAGGTTACTGAGGAGTGGGAGGTGGATGGCAGCCACGTGATGTTTTTATTTTGAGAAGTGAGCGCTTTGCGCAATGATGACCTTAATCTATCACCCTTGACTGATGGCTGCTTTGTTAGGGAGATTATTGGGAAAGCACAGAGTTCCTTTGAGGATTTTTCAGGATTCATTTTTATCTTGTCATCTCCATTCTGCATTCCCTTGACATATTTTGCTTTTCATTTTTTGTTTTCTTCATTACTGTTACTTACAGATCAGGAATTCATATGCTGGTTCTCCCCTTCCTACTTCCTGGTTTATGCTACTCTGATCCTAATCTTGTTGGGGATTTGTCTTAACCACTTCACCTGGGACCACTGTGTTATGTTTGTTCTTGCTTTTATGTTTTGTGTTTCTATTAGTTTTTTTTTTCCAGGTAAAGGTGTCACAGTTTAGAGAAAGTGGGAAGTGTGTGGGGATGGAAGAGAGGTGGTGAAGGCTCTGCTCGTGACTAATAAGTCTTCCATCTGTTTTTTTCCTAGCTCTTCTATCACAAACTAGGGTGTGTGTGTGGTTTTTTTTTAAACTGTTGTTCAAGCCCCCACTCTCCTTCCTTGTTTTCACTTATTCTGCGTGAAACCATCCAGAGACCCCTCCCCTTCTCCCCCTGCTGGCCCAGTTATGGCAGAGAACGATGTGGACAATGAGCTCTTGGACTATGAAGAAGATGAGGTGGAGACAGCAGCTGGGGGAGATGGGGCTGAGGCCCCTACCAAGAAGGATGTCAAGGGCTCCTATGTCTCCATCCACAGCTCTGGCTTCCGTGACTTCCTGCTTAAGCCAGAGTTGCTCCGGGCCATTGTTGACTGTGGCTTTGAGCATCCATCAGAAGGTAAATTTCTGCCCGGCATAGAGTATTCATTAAGCTCTCTAAGGATACAAGAAACAGGTGTGTTAAACAGTCTCTCAAGTCGTACATACTTTCTTAGGCTAGGTCAGGAGATAAAGGATCAAAAACTGTTTTAGCAGTAGGAAAGATTTATATAGATGGGTTTTTCATACATGATAACATGAGAAGCTAGTGACATGAAAAGTGACTTAAAGGGGCGCCTGGGTGGCTCAGTTGGTTAAGCGACTGCCTTTGACTCAGGTCATGATCCCAGGGTCCTGGGATCCAGCCCCACATCGGGCTCCCTGCTCAGCAGGGAACTTGCTTCTCCCTGTTCCTCTGCCTGCCACTCTGCCTACTTGCGCGCGCGCGCTCTCTCTCTCTGTCGTATAAATAAATAAAATCTTTAAAAAAAAAAAAGTGACTCAGAGGTCTGCCATTTGTTCTTGTGACTGGTTTTTCTTTTTGTCTACTTGTTTTTAATTTTGTCATTTAGGTTTCTAATTTTGAATTTCCAGAGAGGAGCTGGTTGGACCTTAAGTCCCTCTCTGTTGGCCAGCTCTGGTCTCTGGAAACCTTAATGGCTGATCTAAAGTGGGTGGCTTCTGGGTCAGCTACCAAGCCCTTCAGAGTTGCAGGGTTATGTGGCCTAAAGCGTGGCAAGCTAAGTTGGAGAAATGGCCTGAGGCAGGCACTCACATGTCATGCATTGTTACAGATTAAGGAAAAATAGGGACAGTTAGAAACATTAAAGGTGAGCTGTTTGTAGGTGCAAGAGGGTTTTTAGCAGCATGGAGGAGGGGGCACTGGAGTCGGAGGCTAAAGTGAGAAAGAACTAGGAAGGTCTGCTTTTGGGATGAGTTTGGGAGAGAAGAGAAGTAGAAAGGGTCTGGGAATTGATAACCATTTAAGAATTGAACGGTGAGAAATGGGTTTGGCAGGGTGGAAAAAAGGTGGAGTTATCTGGAGACTGAAGTCTAATTTATCTTTTTTCCCCGCCTTCTAGTCCAGCATGAGTGCATCCCTCAGGCCATTCTGGGAATGGATGTCCTGTGCCAGGCCAAGTCAGGCATGGGGAAGACAGCAGTGTTTGTGCTGGCCACACTGCAACAGCTGGAGCCAGTTACTGGACAGGTACACTGGGGGAGAGTGCTGTGGAAGACATTTTGGTTAGAAATATTCGAGAAGGGTGTTTTGTCTTAGCCATGTGATGCATTCGGAGCCATGAGTGTTTGTTGCTAAGATGGCCTGTCACCTTTGATGGTTATGGGGGATATTACATAGTAAGCATGGGGTTAACGGTTTAGATTGTAGAGTTGAAGTCATTTATGATCTGCCAGATGTGCTTTTGTGACAGTTTGCTTCCCCAGAGGGCATAGTAAAGGGATAAACTGTTTGTCTCCATCTACTCCCCCCCACCCCCCAGGTGTCTGTGCTGGTGATGTGTCACACTCGGGAGTTGGCTTTTCAGATCAGCAAGGAGTATGAGCGCTTCTCTAAATACATGCCCAATGTCAAGGTAAGCCAGGGTAAAGAGACCTGGGAGGGTGAGGGTGTGGGGTGTTGAAGGCATTGAAGACTTGTGGACCAGCAGTCTTCATGTCCACAGTTGTTAAATTACATGTAATAGCTAGTAAGTTTCTGTAAACTTTGGTGTGCAAGAGATGTATGTTATAGGGATCACTTGAATACATTGTAATTTCTGAGATGTTTGCTTGTATTCTAATTTTGGAGAAGCATTAGGTTACCTCGTGTTAATATAGCTGTGTAGCAGGAGACTGCATGAATGGTCTACGGAGGATGCTTATCACGATACCACGCTTTTGTTAACTACTTATTCATATTGACTTTTATTTCACTGTGCTGTGGTTGACAGTTTGAGAATTTTAGGGTCTGTGGCAAGAGAAGGCTGAGAGCTCCAAAATACTTCTAGTGTGGTGTGTGATTTTTGAGGATTCTTTAAAATGGTAGAAAATCGGAAGATGTTTGGGGGCCACAACAGAATAGGCTTGGGTTGTTTTCCATATATAACCTTGATTTTCATAGTGTGGTTCCCAAACCCATAGTTACAGCATCATTTGGAAGCTTGATGGAAATGCAGATTATGTGGGTACCACCCCAGACCTACTGAGTATGAATATGCATTCTAACAAAATCTCTAGGTAATTGGAGTTTGAGAAGCACTGATGTGTATAACTTCCTACTCTCCTGGCTAGGATGTGGTGAAGAACAGTACTTTTGTTTGGATTGTTGCTTTTTTCTCCTGTTACTCATTACTTTATGTGTTGAGTTCTAGCCCTAATGTAAAAATAGTCACTTTTTTTTTTTTTAAGAGATTGTATTTATTTGAGAGAGGGAGCACGCATGAGCCGGGGGGTGGGGGGTGGGCAGAGGGAGCCCACATGTGGGGCTCAATCCCAACCTGAGTGGAGGTCAGATGCTTAACTGAGCTAAACTAAAGTAGTCCTTTTTTTTTAAAAAAAAGATTTTATTTATTTGACGGACAAAGCAAGAGAGGGAACACAAGCAGGGGGAGTAGGAGAGGGAGAAGCAGGCTTCCCGCTGAGCAGGGAGCCCAGGACCCGAGCCGAAGGCAGACACTTAACGACTGAGCCACCCAGGCGCCCCTAAATTAAAGTAGTCTTAAACTAAAAGTAGTCTTTTTTTTTTAGTGATTTTATTTATTTATTAGAGCAAGCGAGAAAGTACAAGCAGGGGGAGTGCAAGAGGGAGAAGCAGGCTCCCCACCGAGCAAGGAGCCCGATGTGGGGCTCGATCCCAGGACTCTGGGATCATGACCTGAGCCGAAGGCAGACGCCTAACCAACTGAGCCACCCAGGCGCCCCCTAAAAGTAGTCTTCACTGATGAATCACAGACCTCTATCCCTGAAACAAATAATATGTTGTATGTTAATTAGAAAAAGAAAAGTAGTCTTAAAAACCAAAGTAGTAATAGCAGTATCTGAGTGGGGTAAACATGCTGGAGTAATTTAAAAGGCCTCATAATGAAAAGATTTTTGTTCTATCTGATCGCACCTCACAGAAGTTAATCATTAGTTAACCTTTTTTTCCGTAATCGTTCTGTGACAGCAAGTATTAGGCACTGTTCTCTCATTTTATCAAATTTCGGGTCTTTTTTACTTCTTTTCATGAAAGATCAGACGGTTTACATTATTCTTTTGTTATATGAAAATTAATTTTAATTCTTTAAAAATAATTTAAATGCCGTGTGTGTGTGTATTACGCGTATCTATCTTCTTACATTGTCAGTATCATTGTCCTTCCACCAGGTAGTCTTGCTGCTGGTTGATTCTAAAAAGTTGAAAACCAGAAAACAGTTTCCGTTCTGACTGTTGAAACATTTATTGCTGGCTCATTAGTGAGCGAGGATTGCATTTCCTCTTCTATAGGTCCAACTTAGCAGCTTATGCTGCTTAAAAGAGGATTTTTTTTTTTAAAGATTTTATTTATTAGACAGCAAGAGAGAGAACACAAGTAGGGGGAGTGGGAGAGGGAGAAGCAGGCTTCCCGCCAAGCAATGCGGGGCTCGATCCCAG